AAAAGTTCTTCCTTAGTAGGGTCACTTTTCCTGAGGAACCCCTCCCATAGATTTATCCCATAGTAGGCCTTATAAATAATATCCACATACTAAAATTATTTGGCTTCTAATGTTGTTTTACACTAATTGATATTGTAAAAGTAACTCTACAGTCAAAAGCTGTAATACTTAAATAATAATCTGCCATCCAAGCCATTAACCTTTAGCATCTGTGTTATGTTTAAAAATGCCTGCTAAAATTGTCTATGCATAAACAAGTTTTGTTTTTAGTTATGCTGTGGCTTATTTGGTTGGCGTGAAAATTAGATTGCTTTGCATATCTGGGGTAGCATAACCAGTTTTATCAGTGGCTAGATTATATCAGATGACAAAAATAACTTGAGACTTCAGAGGTTTGATAAATAAAGTGATGATACTTATTAGAAGTGGATGCAATCTATAGCCATCAAAATGTGATGCATTCATATTCAGGCATGGTCCTTTAGCGTTGGAGTGATAGGCACTTTTATTTGAGTCTTTGAATGAAAGACAGGCTTTTAAAGTGGATTAAAGGATAGCAGTTTTTATTTGATAAGTTGGGACCCATGGTAACAGCAAGCATCCCACTTATAACTGGTGTCCATTCAGGAAAAAACATGTAACCATTATGTGACTCAATACAAAGAAGATGATTACACTGGTAAAAAATACTAAGTTAAAAAAAACACCTAGTAAAAAATACTAAAAGGATTACATTAGTGAAGATTCAGGGTGCGAAGGTGTGAAGTAAAAGGAGAGAAGATTAACAGAATAGGTTTACCTTTATTTGATCTGCTTACAGGGATCTATCTTCCATGGTGACTAATTCTCCTATTTTGGTGAAACTTTTCAGGTTGATGGATTTAACAAGAGTAGTATAAATCCAAAATTTTCCATTTTAAGGTCATGATTTTATTTTTTACTCTGTGGTTCTTAAACACAATTTACTTCATTTTATATAACACCTGCCAAGAACAGCCTAATAAAATTAAACAAGATCTGGTTTAGGTTTAACAAAATTAAAATGTGTTTAACAAAACCTAGAAATGATGTGAATTTGCTCCTAGGAAACACTGAAAGCATGTGAAAGGAATAGCACTCCAATCCAGCAGTTTATTTTATTTGTGCTTTTTAATAATTGCTGTTTTAAATTCTCTAAGGAGTTGATAATACATAGTCGTTTCTGTTTGGCTTTGAAGTGATCCAAGTATATGTATGTGGTTTGTTTTATGAAACAACCACAAAATACAGTCTTTCTATGAACATATGCAGAGTGATCAGAAAGTCTCCCATTCTCTAGGCCAGAAACATCATGAATGCTCTCATATCTGACTAAATGCTGACTAAGACATCTCAGACTCTACCTTTTGTCCAAACTAGAGGAGTTTTGGACAATTTTTCTGGACTGGGGAGGTATTTTTCAAAGATCCCTATTAAATTTTAGAAATCAGAAGGGAATCTAGGAAAATTGCTTATTTGATCTATAAACTGATAAACTGAGAACCTATCATATTGAAAATGATTAAATACTCTATAAAATCAGTAGTTTACCAAAAATAGAAAACATTTAATTACTTCTATTTATTTATTTATTTAGAGACAGTCTCACTCTGCCACCTAGGCTGGAGTGCAGTGGCACAATCTCGGGTCACTGCAACCTTCACCTCCTGGGTTCAAGTGATTCTCCTGCCTCACTCAGCCTCCTGAGTAGCTGGGATTACAGGCATGGACCACTGTGTCCAGCTAATTTTTCTATTTTCAGCAGAGACGGGGTTTCACTATGTTGGCCAGGCTAGTCTCAAACTCCTGACCTCTGTTGATCCACCCGCCTCTGCCTCCCAAAGTGCTGGGATTTCAGATGTGAGCCACCACACCCGGCCTTAATTACTTATTTAGAATGCTGTCTACCAATGGTTCTTGTGCCAACAGCTGTGCTTTAAATTCCCTACCAGTGCCTTTCAATATAATTTTTTTTTTTTTTTTTTTTTGAGATGGAGTTTCACCTTTGTTGCGCAGGCTGTAGTGCAATGGCATGATCTCGGCTCACCGCAACCTCCGCCTCCTGGGTTCAAGCAATTCTCCTGCCTCATCCTCCCAAGAAGCTGGGATTACAGGCATGCACCACCACACCTGGCTAATTTGTATTTTTAGTAGAGACAGAGTTTCTCCATGTTGGCCAGGCTGGTTTCAAACTCCTGACCTCAAGTGATCTGCCTGCCTAGGCCTCCCAGAGTGCTGGGATTACAGGTGTGAGCCACTGCGCCTGGCCTCCAATAGAATTTAATGTAGGCCAACATGTAATTTTAAAATTTCTAATAGCTGCATTTTAAAATGTGCTATATGTACTATCTTCAATTTCTTAGAGCATATCTCAATTAAAAGTAGCCACATTTCAAATGCTCACTACTCGTATGTGGCTATTACTATGTAGTGTATTATGCCTTTCTTGTGTTGCTGTAAAGAAATACCTGAGATCAAGTAATTTATAAAGAAAAGAGTTTTAATTGGCTCACAGTTCCGCAGGCTATACAGGAAGCATGGCAGCGTCTGCTTCTAGGGAAGCCTCAGGGAGCTTTTACTCAAGGCAAAGTGGGAGCAGAAGGAAGAGAGAGAAGGTTGAGGTGCCACACACTTTTAAATGACCAGATCTCACAACAACTCATTATCACAATGACAGCAGCAAGGGGATATGGTGTTAAACCATAAGAAATCACCCCCATGATCCATTCACCTCCCACCAGACCCCACCTCTAGCACTGGGGATTACAGTTCAACATGAGATTTGGGCGGGGACAAATATCCAAACTGTATCACATAGCACACTCCTAGACTGTGCTTAAAGTCATCTTTAAGGACTCTAGACAATTGTCACAGCTAATCAAATCTGCCCAATGATGTGCAGTCCCTTATACAGAAGCCCATATTGGTTTGAACATAATACTTGGTACTGAATAATAGCATTTCAAACTTTAAAGGTCGTTTTTCAGCGGTACACTTTCTTTTCTCCCCTCCTCTCCCCTCCCCTCCTCTCCCCTCCCCTCCCCTCCTCTCCTCTCTCCTCTCCTCTTTTCTTTCTTTTCTCACTCTGTCGCCCAGGCTGGAGTACAATGGCATGATCTCGGCTCACTGCAACCTCCGCTTCCAGGGTTCAAGTGATTCTCCTGCCTCAGCCTCCAAAGTAGCGGGGATTACACGCATGCACCATGATGCCCCACTAATTTTTGTATTTTTAGGAGAGACGGGGTTTCCCCTGTTGGCCAGGCTGGTCTTGAACTCCTGACCTCATCTGATCCACCTGCCTCTGGGATTACAGACTTGAGCCACCATGCCCGGCCAGTGGTACACGTTGGTTTTTTTGGTTTGTTTTTTTTTTTTTTTTTTTTTTTGAGACAGAGTTTCACTGTTGTTGCCAAGGCTGGAGTGCAATGGCACAATCTCAGCTCACTGCAACCTCCGCCTCCCAGGTTCAAGCAATTCTCCTGCCTCAGCCTCCGAGTAGCTGGAACTACAGGCATGCACCACCACATCTGGCTAATTTTGTATTTTTAGTAGACACGGGATTTCTCCATGTTGGTTAGGCTGGTTTTGAACTCCCGACCTCTGGTGATCCACCTGCCTCTACCTCCCAAAGTGCTGAGATTACAGGCATGAGCCACCGTGCCCAGCCAGTGGTACTTTTTTTTTTTTTTTTTTTGGACAAAGTCTGGCTCTGTCGCCCAGGCTGGAGCGCAGTGGCATGATCTCAGCTCACTGCAACCTTTGCCTCCTGGGTTCACACCATTCTCCTGCCTCAGCCTCTCGAGTAGCTGGGACTACAGGCGCCTGCCACCATGCCCGGCTAATTTTTTGTATTTTTTAGTAGAAACGGGGTTTCTCCATGTTCGCCAGGATGGTCTCGATCTCCTGACCTTGTGATCTGGCCGCCTCAGCCTCCCAAAGTGCTGGGATTACAGGCGTGAGCCACCGTGCCCAGCAAGTGGTACACATTTTTAAAGCTAAAGATCAAGAGCTGGATTTTAAAATGAATTAGATGTATGCTACTTAGTAGAAATAAAATGAAAGGCCTGTTAAAGCTATTACAAGAGGATTCTCCTGGTTTACATCTGTGGGAAGCTACAGTATCTTCTGGGAAGCCATTGAGAACTGAGATGAGCAAACACGTTCCTGTATTTGACACTGGACATCTTCCTAAGGCCTAGGCGTGCCACATGTGAGAAGGATAAGTGAAGCATTCATGGTTTCAGCTTTCAAGGAGATCATAAGCTAGTCCAATGGACAAAAATAATCTTCTGAATTACTAAATTGGTCGTGTTAATTTTAGAACTGAAGAAGTAAATTCCATTGGAATTTCATGAAGATCAGTGGTCAGAATTTCAAAATTAATGTTGGATATTATTAGGTATAGATCATTACTTGAAGCCTCTTCTACCAGGGAAAACACACCTTACAAAATTTGTAACCATCGTAGGTGGAGAGTAAAATTTTCCTTCTAGGGTGGGAAAGTAAAGGAGTAGATGGTGGTTAGATACTGGCTTTGAAGTTTGTGACTCAAAAACTGTGTGACTCTGGGAAAGTTACTCTTGAGTATCTTATTGCATTCATCTATGCAGACTTTAAGAATTAAAATTTTATATATTATATATATATATACATACACACACACACACACATACACATTTAGTCATGGTAAGCACATTGTGAGGGCTTAATAGAGATTCAGTGTTTTAAAATTGGTTTCAGGGCCAGGCACGGTGGCTCACACCTGTAATCCCAGCACTTTGGGAGGCCGAGGCAGATGGATCACGAGGTCAGGAGATCGAGGCCATCCTGGCTAACATGGTGAAACCCCCATCTCTACTAAAAAAAATACAAAAAATTAGCTGGGTGTGGTGGCTGGCACCTGTAGCTCCTAGCTACTCAGAGGGAGGCTGAGGTAGGAGAATGGTGTGAACCCGGGAGGCGGAGCTTGCAGTGAGCCGAGATGGATTCACTGCACTCCAGCTTGGGCGAGAGAGAGAGACTCCATCTCAAAACAAACAAACAAAAAAATTAGTTTCAACATGACTAATTACCTCTGCAAAAGGTTATATTCACAGATGTGTAAGAGGCTAGATTCTGATCTATGGAGTGTAACAATTGGTCACTTTTTAATCAACTGAAATTAATTTGGTAGAATGGAAATGAAATTCCACCACTAGTTTCCTTGCGAGGCTGACAGGTCAAGCTGGGGTCCATAAGTCCCTGAAATTGCATGCAAAATTTGGTGTCTGTTTCTTGGTAGAATTTTTAAAGAGATCCATGACTCAAAGACCCACCATCTAAATGGCCTTCCTGTGGAGATACTTGAGCACCTTAAGAGAGAAATACATGTTACACAAGCCAAGAATATCAAATCTGCTTTGCTTCTCTAAGACAATATCAGAAAAAAATGAAATACCTTTTCTCTTCTTTTTAGAGTCAACAACAATGGTTCCATGAACTGATGGAGAAAGCAAATGCCTCTTATTAGAGGCAACAACGATAGTTCCATGAACTGATGGAGAAAATGAATTGGTGGGTCACAAATGTAGTCCTCTGGTTGGTCCTTTAAAAAATAACCTTGCCTTGCTATTTAGTTTGCTTTTTCCTGATATTTCTCTCCCACTCCTCTCAAACTCAGATCAGGGTCTTAAGATATCATGCTTTACACGATACATGTGTTTGTAAGCCAAGAAATACGAATTTCAAGTGTGTCATCTTACATAGTAATTGTCTCAATCATGTAAGTCCAGATATTTTCTTAGAGTCCTAGCTGATTCATCAGGGTACTGCTCTGAGTAATGGCGAGAAACTAAACCATCTATAACCTACTATTTCCAAAGCTAAAATAATAGAGAAGTTCAAATTTAGTCTGAGTCTGTTCAGGACAACAGCACTTGTTTATTACTAAGTGTTCCCTCTTTTGCTGTATACTTTCTCCCTGAACTTGTACCCTAGTTTGCTGTTGCTGGAGGGATGCCTGAGAATCAGTCTTTGAAACTCTTCTAATGTTTATAATCCTTCCCAATCCATTGGATCCAAATATTGAAAATGGATGAGATTTTCCTAAATCATGCTTAGAAAGGTAGCCCAAATCTTTTAGCATTCTCCAAAATCAACTGGAGAGTTAAAAACAAACAAACACACACATACACATATTTGGATCTCAATTCATTCCCATTGAATCAGAATGTATGGGACAATCTTTATTTTTGACAGCTCTCCCTAAGTGACTCTGTTAATTAGAATATACTTCTCCTAGGCCACGCGTGGTGGCTCATCTCTGTAATCCCAGCACTTTGGGAGGCTGAGGCGGGCAGATCACCTGAGGTCAGGAGTTTGAGACTAGCCTGACCAAAATGGAGAAACCCTGCCTCTACTAAAAAATACAAAATTCGCCGGACGTGGTGGCACATGCCTGTAATCCCAGCTACTCAGGAGGCTGAGGCAGGAGAATTGCTTGAACCCAGGAGGCGGAGGTTGCAGTGAGCCAAGATTGCACTATTGTACTCCAGCCTGGGCAACAAGAGTGAAATTCTGTCTCAAAAAAAAAAAAAAAAAAAAAAAAAGAATATACTTCTCCTGGCTGGGCATGGTGGCTCATGCCTGTAATCCCAGCACTTTGGGAGGCCAAGGCAGGCAGATCATTTGAGGTCTACAGTTTGAGACCAGCCTGGCCAACATGGTGAAACCCCCTCTCTACTAAAAATACAAAAATTAGCCAGGTGTGGTGACTGGTGCCTGTTATCCCAGCTACTCAGGAGGTTGAGGCAGGAGAATCGCTTGAACATGGGAGGCAGAGGTTGCAGTGAGCCAAGATCGCGCCACTGCACTCACTAGGCCCATACAATAAAAAGAGGTAAATTTGGACAGTCCAGTGGCTCATTTATATAAACTGTCATAAGTATAGTTTTCTGTATCTATTAGCCCCATTTTAAAGTACAAGCATATATAGTCTCATTAAAACTTTGTTGTTTTCTATCCATGGGTCACATCAGAGGTGGGGTTTTTTGTGTGTGTTTTTTTTTTGTTTGCTTTGTTTGTTTCTTTGTTTGTTTGTTTTGAGACAGGGTCTCACTCTGTCACCCAGGCTGGAGTGCAATGGCGCAATCTCGGCTCACTGCAACCTCTGCATCCTGGGCTCAAGTGATTCTCATGCCTCAGCCTCCTGAGTAGCTGAGATTACATGTGCGTGCCACCAGGCCTGGCTAAGTTTTGTATTTTTAGTAGAGATGAGGTTTTACCAGGTTAGCCAGGCTGGTCTTGAATTCCTGGCCTCAAGTGATCCATCTGCCTCGACCATGCTGCTGGGATTACAGGCATGAGCAATGGTACCTGGCCACATTATTTTGCAAAATGCTGTCATAGAAGCAAACCCATCTCTATTTTAATCCTATGATTCCTCAATATATAGCTCAGATCTTTCACCTGGAAAATCCTTGCAAAAACAAACCACTTAATCACATTATTCTTTGGAGTTCCATGAAACTGAATGATAAAACTGAAACTCACATGGGTGTCACTCATTTTATCTTCTGTTCATTGATACTATTTATTTGCCACCTTTGAAGGACTATTTAAACTATCTAAAGCCATAGTCACACTTCCCCTGCTCTGAGGAAGGGCTAAAGAAAGGCAGTGGGAATAAAGAATTCTTTTTCTACTGCATTGTATGAGTTGTCTAGAAAAGTTGAGTAAGAACCTAGGACAAGGAAATCAGACAGCTCCCAGCATACCTATTGTCTGAGTTCCCTCGCACAACTTCAGAATTGTATTCAAAAGTATTTTCACAACAGTAGGCACCCACTTAATTAAATACAAGCACATAATCAAATATATATATATACACGCACACATATATATGTGTGCATATATATATGTAGTTATCACCCAAATATATATGTAGTTATCACCAAGATCTTAGCTTCATTTCTCTAAATGCAAACCAGGACCATCTGAGCATACATTAAGAAATACACAAGAGTTATTGGAATGGCCTTTTGATCCCAAGAGATATGGCACAGAGACATTTAGAGAAGTGTGCCACACGATCTTCTCAGGAACATGGGAAAGGCACCAGGACCGGAGGGAGGCAGAGGTTTGGGCACCTTTGAGTAACTGTATCTCAAAGAGAAATGTAGTAGAAAAAATCAAGGACCTTGAAATTAGATAGATCTGGGCTGAAGTCTTTGTTTCAGTTCTAATAGCTATGTATTTGGGGGCAAGTTATTTAATGCTTTTATTTCTTCAATAGGAAAGTGTGCCTCACAAGAAAACTTTACAGCGTTCTTTCCAATTCAACAAAATAACATCCAAAGAGCTGAGCACAGTATTTAGCACAGAGTCAATGCTGCTGGTCAAAACTGTTCACCCACTTTTTTTGCTTTCTCATCTTCACTCTGCCCTGCCTGGCCCAAGCTATCTCCATCAAGTTAACAAAGAGCTGAGCTGGAAAGGAGTGGAAGAGACGTTAAAGCCACGCTCTCACTGATTATTGAATAAACAGGATGGTTCATCTCCCTCCTATGGAAGAGAAAGGGCTATTGATATTAAACTCTAGAAATGAGTTGAAAACCATTGAAATGAACTCTGGAAATGCAGCCCCTCTGATTAATACTTATCTGAGTGAGATTACCTGTTTTGCAATAACACGTCATTGGTTGCAACCCAAGATGGTGGAGTTAGGGGATCTAGGGGAGCTGCAAAGTTAGGTCAATAATAAACACTTAGAAAGCCATGAATTACACAGTCATGGAGTCAGGACCCCATTATAATATCATAGTGGTTCTTCTGCAATCAGCTGACAATGATCTGGTCTCACGTTCAGCAGATGCCACAAAAAGGGACAATTCCAAAAGCAGTCAGGTAATTATCAGCATTATTTGTTTGTTTCCCAGCATTTACACAGAGGTTTCCTAACAGTTTCAGTTCCTCATGAAGGATTTCTAATAAGGGGGTTGCTATCATCTCAATGCTGGTGACTCCCACAAATTCATATGTTGAAATCTGACTGTCAAAGTGATGGTGTTAAGAGATAGAGAATTTCGGAGGTGATGAGGTCATAAGGGCTGAGTCCTCATGAACTGGATTAGTGCCCTTATAAAAGAGGTTCCAGAGAGCTGCCTTACCTCTTCCACCATGTAAGGCTACAGTGAGAAGATGGCCCTCACCAAACCCCAAATCTTCTGAGGCCTGGATCTTGAACTTCCCAGCTTCTAGAACAGTGAGAAATAAATTTTTGTTGTGAATGAGCAACCCAGCTTATGGTGTTTTGTTAAGACAGCCTGAACAGACTAAGACAGAGGTATTCTAAGCTGGACATCCCATCTCAAACACAAAACTGTTTTGTTTGGCCTCAAAAACCAACCTGCATCATGAATAATTGTTTTTTATTTGCCCTTGTTTTCCTGATATGAATTGATTTCCAAAAATTATCAACTGTTACACACTTTTTAGCTTATAGCAACATTCTAAATCATAAAAGTGTTAATAAACACATCAATAATTTTCCCTTAATACTGAGGATAAACAAATAGAATGTTTCCTGTATCATAGTTTGTATGATATCAGTAATATACTTAATGTCTCAAAAGATTATAGTTAGGCAATAGACAATTATTGAATTGAAGTGGATTATTTGACTATTAGAGGAAGAATAAGAAGTAGTAATGCATAACACAATCTTTTATATTCTTTTTTGGGGTTGGGGATTCTAAAAGACAAAAATGCTTTTTCCACAGTTGAATTCAAATATATGTAATTACATGTCTTTCACTTTCAGTAGTTTATAATCTCCTTGCACCTTCTTTGAATCACTAATGTCTAACAGTGCCTTGCACAAAGTAAGACCCTAAATACGACATCTCTCTCACTTAAAGACCAGATTCTTTGTAAGTGGAGCACAAATTTCCTAGGACTACTGTAACAAATTGCCACAGGATGGGTTCCTTAAAACAACTGAAATTTATTCTCTCACAGTTCTGGAGGCTAGAAATTTGAAATCAAGATGTTGTCCAGGCGTGGTGGCTCACACCTGTAATTCCAGCACTTTGAAAGAGAGAAGTGGGAGAATCACTTGAGCCCAGGAGTTTGAAACCAGCCTGGGAAAAATAGCAAGACCTCCCCTCTATAAAAGAAAAGAAAAGAAAAAGAAAATCAAGGTGTCAGCAGTGTAGGTTCCTTCTGAAGGCTCTAAGAAAAAATTCATTTCATGCCTCTCTCCTAATTTCTTATGGTTGTCAGCAAACCTTAAAGTTCTTTGGTTTGCAGCTACACATCTTCAGTCTCTGCCTCTGTCTTCATGGCCTTCTTGCTGTGAGTCTGTGTGTCTCCGTATCCAAATCTCCATCTTCTTTCTCTCAGTAAGACAATAGTCATTAGATTTAGAGCACATCTTGTTCTAGTGTAACCTCACCTTAATTTGATTATCTCTGCAATCCTATTTCCAAATAAAGTCACATTCACAGGTACTGGCGATTAGGACTCCAGCATATCTTTTTGGGAGACTCGATTTAACCAACTACATTAAGGACACAATAAGAACTAGAAAGTGTGGCCAAAGAATCTTGCTTTAACTATTAAAATACCATGCAGAAAGAACAATTTTGTTAACTATAATTCAGGTATGCTTTTACATGAATATTAGTTGCAAAGATTTTAGCCACAGATAAAAACTTTATCAAGGTGCACCATTTCTTTGATATGACAGATTCAATAAAGGAATAAATAGCTCTCTTTGAGAAGTACCATTATGATCACAAAAACATTAATTTACCATGGTTTTGGGAAATATTGACATTGATTTTACATGTTGATACATACTATGAAACATTCAGAGGAAAAGATCTCCGGTTATGCAAAAGAAACAATGCTAAGTGCTTGCTACTCACAAAGATTCTCTTCTTGACAAAACTCTAGCCAGCCCCTTTGAGCTCTTTTTCAACAGGGCCCACCCTTGGGCCTGTCCTCAAGAGCCTGACTTTAGCAAGAATTCTGCTAAGCTAGTTTAGCCATGATCCCTCATCCTCGGTATCTGATCACTCTTAATTTTCTGGCCACATTCATCTCTCACCATCCCCCAGGTGATTTCTGATCACCCTAGCAAGAACCCTTCTTCCTGGTTAGCTAGAATCCCCTCTTACCTCTGATGTTTCCTCTTAGTAACCATTCCTTTTATTTCTTTTTCCATCCAACGACTCCTCCACTGTGCTTCTTGGCTATACATTCCCACTTTTCCTTGTTGTACACAGAGTTGAGTCCAATCCCCCTCCACTACTCTGAAACCCCATTTCGGTAGTTGCCATACCTATCACCACAGTCCTGAATAAAGTCCACCTTACCATCTTCACAAATGTCGCAAATCATTTTTCTTTAATATCACGCCAGTTCCTCTTTTTCCGCACATAGTAAGATAACAATCCTCAGGTTTCCTTGCGGTTAGCTGTGCATCAGAGTCTGAGCCAGGAATGGTGGGTAGAATGAACGTAAGTCACTTCTAAGTTTGACCCTTGAAAACGTTCCGCTTGAACCTCCTTTCTCTCATTTCTCTGCTAGAATGACTCTGGGACCACATTTTCCAGTGGCATAGTCATCAGAGGAAGGAGAGCCTACCCAGTGTGATGTGAATAAACAGATGAGGTTCTACCTGGTTACTGCTTCATGGTCCAGTTTCCTAATGCAGGTTACGGATTATGCAAGTTTACAACATCATCTAACTGTAAGAAAACTAAATATGTATTTAAAGCCCTTAGAATCAAAGACTGATAGTGATGTGCTCATCTTTGTATTCCCTGGCACATTTCACAGTACCTGACTCATCACCATGCTTGTTTCTCTCTCTCTTTTCTTTTCTTTCTGTCTTTTTGGTTTTTTTTTGAGATAGAGTCTTGTTTTGTTGCCCAGGCTAGAGTGCAGTAGCACAATCACAGTCACTATAACCTTGAACTCCTGGGATCAAGCAATCTCCCACCTGAGCCTCCTGAGTAGCTGGGACTACAAGAGCACACTATCATGCCCAGTTAAATTTTAATTTTTTGTGTGTGAAGATGGGGGTCTTGCTATGTGGCCCAGGCTGGTCTCCAACTGCTGACCTCAAGTGATACTCCCACCTCAGCCTGCCAAAGTGCTGGGATTATAGACGTTAGCCACTGCACCCAGCCCTGTTTGTTTTTCTTTACATCGGAAAGTGATCTTCAAAAATAAGTAATTTTTTTTTTTGGTCTGTTATACTACTTGTAATGAAAACTCATTATTTGACATCTTATTTTCTTCTTCTGTTTTTTGTTTTGAGACGGAGTCTCACTCTGTCTTCCAGGCTGGAGTGCAGTGAGGCGATCTCGGCTCACTGCAACCTCTGCCTCACAGGTTCCAGCAATTCTGCTGCCTCAGCCACCTGAGTAGTTGGGACTACAGGTGCACGCACCACGCCTGGCTAATTTTTTGTAGTTTTAGTAGAGATGGGGTTTCACCATGTTGGCCAGGCTGGTCTCAAATTCCTGACCTCAAGCAATCCACCCGCCTCAGCCTCCCAGAGTGCTGGGATTACAGGTGTGAGCCACCATGCCTGGCCCAGCATCTTATTTTCTTAAATACTTAAAGAGAAAAATCAGTGACAACAACAAAAAAAGCAGTGAGTGGCTCCCATGTGCCAAACCTTCTGGTGTTAAACAGGCAGAACATATTTACTTTATTTATTTTATTTATTTATTTATTTATTTATTTATTTATTTATTTATTTATTTATTTTTGAGACAGAGTTTCGCTCTTGTTGCCCAGGCTAGAGTGCAATGGCATGATCTTGGCTCACCACAACTTCCACCTCCTGGGTTCAAGTGATTCTCCTGCTTCACCCTCCCGACTAGCTGGGATTACAGGTGCCCGCCACCACACCCAGCTAATTTTTGTATTTTTAGTAGAGACAGGTTTTCCCCATGTTGGCCAAGCTGGTCTCAAACTCCTGACCTCAGGTGATCTGCCTACCTCGGCCTCCCAAAGTGCTGGGATTACAGGCGTGAGCCGCCGTGCCCAGTCTATTTTAGAGGAATAAATAGTAACTGTGTACTCCAAATTTGGGAAACTAGCTAATAAAGTTAGCAAAACATCCTGCATTGTCCACCAGGAATTGTTCGTTATTTTATTCACAAAAAATGTAACAATATATGGGGGAAGTCATCTAGAAGAAACCTCATCAGTTCATATAACATTCTTAAAAAAGGAAAACGGTTTCAGTGGCACCAATCTGGGTGAATCCAGAGCAGTGGCCAATTTGTGATGAGCCACATCCAGAATGAAGTGGGGGAGCTCACAGCTGGACATCTTAGCAAATACCAAATCCAGGTATGTCAGTTGGGACAACTGGGGGAGGAGGTGTGGTGGGCTGTGCAGCCGGGGGAACCTTCACCAAAATGACTAGAGAAATGAGAAGAACAATTATAACTGACAGATAGGAACAGCCTGCTCAGATACGCTAAAAATGAGTCAGGCCTTCAGGATGACAACTTTGACAAGGATTTTGGAGATGATAACAAATGGAAAGATTTATGTATCCAGTTCAACACAACTGTTCATTAGAGTCCCCGAGGGTCTGATGCATTTAGCAAATGACTATTTTATATGCTTTTTAAATTTTCAGATGCTTCCATAAATTCATAGTCTTGAAAGGAAGACATTTCTTCAGAACTCTGTAAATCTTATGAGTCCTAAGGGAGTTGGTGGAGGTGGGAATAGTTTGTATTTGCTAAGCATGACAATAGTGTGGCAAAGATTTTAAGACTGCTCCAGCTGCAAACAAACTTTGCCAATTTCTTCCTTCAGAATAATGAAAATAATTTTTTTTTTTTGAGATGGGCTCTTGTTCTGTCACCCAAACTGGAATACAGTGGCACCATCTGCCTCACTGCAACCTCTGCCTCCCAAGTTCAAGCGATTCTCCGGCCTCAGCCTCCCGAGTAGCTGGGACTACAGGCACACGCCATCACACCTGGCTAATTTTTGTATTTTTAGTAGAGGTGGGGTTTCACCATGTTGCCCAGGCTGGTCTTGGACTCCTGACCCCAAGTGATCTGCCCACCTTGGCCTCCCAAAATGCTGGAATTACAGACGTGAGGCACAGTGCCAGCCTGGAAAAATGAAAATAATTCTTATGGTGATTACAGCTCATTCTTATCCAGCCACCCACTCCCAACGTCTTTTTTTAAATCTTGTAAACTCATTTGTTGCAATTAAGTCAATTAAATTTCTTTCAAAAAGTTCTATAATTCAGACTTGCCTGTACTTACCTGTTTTCTATTTAGAAATAAGATTGATGAAGTATTTAAATTTTAGTTTTAGCTATAATTTGCTAAGTGGATACAGGAATTTTAAAAATGAATGTGCATTCTCCTAACATTTAAAGGGAATATTACCAGAATTGGGAAATTTCAGAAGGTAACTGGAAGTGGAGATGAGAATAATGTGATTTATTGAGTAGGAGAAGAGATGGACGTGCCAGGACACTTTTGAAGGTTTATGTACCATGTCTGGCCATACTCTAGAAATAATAGAGAATTTTATTAAAAAGAAAATAACAGGCCGGGTGCAGTGGCTCATGCCTATAATCCCAGCACTTTGGGAGGCCAAGGTGGGCAGATCACTAGGTCAAGAGATCAAGCCCATCCTGGCTAACACGGTTAAAACCCGTCTCTACAAAAAGAAATACAAAAAATTAGCCGGGCGTGGTGGTGGGTGCCTGTAGTCCCGGGTAGCTGGGAGAATGGCGTGAACTTGGGAGGTAGAGCTTGCAGTGAGCTGAGATTGTGCCACTGCACTCCAGCCTGGGCGACAGAGCCAGACTCCATCTCAAAAAAAAAAAAAAGAAAGTAACATTGTAGGCAATGATCAAGGTAACTTTTCTTAGAATCTAAATCTAAATTTCTATTTATTTGTTTATTTTTAGAAACAGCATCTTGCTCTGTTACCCAGGATGGAGTGCAGTGGTGCGATCACAGCACGCTATCGCCTTGAACTCCTCTTCTCAAGTGATTCTCCTCCCCCCTCAGCCTTCCTAGTAGCTGGAACTACATGTGCAAGGCCAGAAATCTAAACTTTTTACTTCATTTTTAGTTAAGGGTTTTAGTCCTCTTTTCTTACTCCTTAATAAATTACTTGGACATACTTACATGAACAGAGAATATATTATCTTTATTTTTCTTCTGATGATTAGGAAATAAATTGTTCGCTGGGCACGGTGGCTCACGCCTGTAATCGCAGCAGTTTGGGAGGCTGAAGCAGTTGGATTACCTGAGGTCAGGAGTTCAAGACCATTCTGGCCAACATGGAGAAACCCCTAAAAATACAAAAATTAGCCAGATGTGGTGGCAGGCGCCTGTAGTCCCAGCTACTCGGGAGGCTGAGGCAGGAGAATCTCTTGAACTTCGGAGGTGGAGGTTGCAGTGAGGCCAGATTGCGCCATTGCACTCCAGCCTGGGTGACAGAGCAAAACTCCGTCAAAAAAAAAAAAGAAAGAAAGAAAGAAAGAAAATAAATTGTTCTTCCTTAATTAGCTTGATTTAATTATTCCATAATGAATACATATATATGAAAATATCACACTGTACCTCATTAATATATGCAATTATTAATTATCCATTAAAAATAAAATGTATTTTTTAAAAGAATTAAAATAAGATAAATGTCTCCTCAGACCAGAGAGAAGTGGACTAAGCCTCAGGAAAATCACAGGCTACGTCTGGGTCTGTCGTGAAGCAACTGTGTGACCACAGACTAGTGCCTTGACCTCTGAGACCCTCAGTTTTCTTCACCTGAAAAATGAAGGCTTTGCTTTAGACAGTATATTCAGGTTCTTTCCAGCTTTAACATTTTAGGATTCTAGACGAGGAGAAAGAATTTTATTCAGAGCCTCATTTCCTCTTCAATAGGACAGAATGAGAACTCAGAGGGTGTGGTCACTAACCTCTCTTTCCTGAGGCTCTCCTTGTCTTGTCTGGGCATTGGTTGGCCTCCTTACATGTCACCATGAGGCATTCTTCCTGGCCACCAATGTTTTGTTTAGACTTTCCCATACTGTCTACCAAGAGTCTTTCAGTTTGCTTCAAGCTTATCTGTGGTCAGTTCTGAGTTGAAATTCAAGTGCACAACCTGACAATGACGTCTGTGCCTTTGTTTCTGGAATAAATAGGTAAACTCTGAGGCGGAGAGGAGAGAGGCAGTGGTTCTTGCACTAGAGTGGAACTAACGGCCCATCTACCTCATAAGCCATTGATGAATTGAAAAAACAAAACTCTTTGCAGACCCCATTTCTTTCTTTCTTTCTTTTCTTTTTCTTTTTCTTTTTTTTTTTTTTTGAGAGAGAGTCTTACTCTGTTGCCCAGGTTGGAGTGCAGTGGCACGATATTGGCTCACTGCAACCTCCGCCTCCCGGGTTCAAGTGATTCTCCTGCCTCAGCCTCCCGAGTAGATGGGATTACAGGCGTGGGCCACCATGCCTGGCTAATTTTCGTATTTTTAGTAGAGACGGGGATTTACCATGTTGGTCAGGCTGGTCTCAAACTCCTGACCTCAGGTGATTCGCCCACCTCGGCCTCCCAAAGTGCTGGGATTACAGGCGTGAGCCACCACACCAGGCCCGCAGACCCCATTTCTCAGGTGAAATTCTGTGGGAGAACATTGAGATTCACTGAGGCGCAACACACCCATCAAATGAATTTCTGGTAAATGATTATAATGGAGCCAGGGGAATCTTGCTTTGAGAAGGCTATTTCCTCATAAAGGCTGTGACTTCCTCACAGTTTGTTTCATTGACAAATGTTCTTTCTCCTCAGAACTGAACCCCTACAATGTGAGAAGACTCTCACAATTGCCTTTCTCAAGAACACCACCTTGGCCACTTGACCTTTCTCTGAAGAGCACCACTCGTCTTTCCCCAGATGGATGCAGGATGCTGCCTCCACAGGGCCACAGAAGCCATTGTTCCAAGAAGCACCAGCTTCTTGGGCTTTTCGCTTAATTGGTTTCCATGTTAGGACCTAGACTTCTGTCTCTCCCTTGTTTTCCCACCAATCCCCACAGCAGAATGCAGTCCTCTTCCAAATATGTCCAACAGTGGACCGCTCATCTTTCCGTCAAGCTGTCAGTGAGAGTCTATTAAATGGCCCAATCTTGAAATCCTTCTGATGAAGACAAATGAGAAATAAACTTATGAAACAGCTCCGAGTTACATTTAAGTCTCTCCATTTCCTTTAGTTTCTCTTTGCTCCAAGGCTTGAATATAAAATGGAGACAGGGTTTCAGCGACAGATGGCAGAGGATAATCTTTCATTTTGTCATAAAGTTAACCCTCGGAGGGGCCTGAAAAGACCTTTCTCTTGGAAAATCAGTGGCTTCATAGTTCCTTGCTTTTAATCGGGTAGAAAAAGCTCTTTTCTGATTTTCAGAGAACGTGCCTTTCCTCTAGGCTAACCCACATCGCAAGACACTCGGGTGAGGCTGGCCTCTCCATTCTGATTTATTTATGCTGCTTGTGGGTGCCTTGCACATTTTAATTAATGATGATTTGACTGTGCGTGAGCCCTGGCGATAAATACGAAAACAGGGCTATTAAAGATAATCCAATAAACAAACCCAAGAAAGGCTGTCTTCCAGTATTATTTGTTGCCATTTTTAAAGGGGACAGATGACTAAAAGAAATACAATGCTGAAATTAATTTTTAACGTTGATAAACAGTAACTATAACCATGACTAAAAAATGCCCATTAAATCTTATACTGACTAAGAAATCACAATTCTATGTCCAGATGAAGCATTTGTTTTATTCCTTGAACAAGTTCAGCCAAAGGGGGTTATGATTTAATGAGTGGAGAATTCTTGTATTAGGTGTTGTAGCAAAGCCGAGAGACTGTCACTAAGATCGGATAGCTTCCAACCTTAATCAGTAGATGACAAAGAGGCCAAATGACAAGTTTTCTTTAAGGCAAAATCCTGAGCTTTTTTTTTTTTTTTTTTTATCATTTAAGTGAAGGGAGAATCTAGATGGTTCCAAGTAGGTAAGGAGACAGAACAGTCACTCAGAGTGAAGGAAATGTTAAATAAAGAAAAAACTTAAGCTGGGTCTGATGTCTGTGCTAAGTCACAACACATGAAGCTCACAGCCCTCAAGTTTGTATCTGGGGGCACAGCACATCAAGGCGGTTGGGTCTTTATGTGGCTTTGCATAATGGTAAGGATGGAGAATGTATACAGTATAGCAATGTAGGGAGACCTGGATTGCATTAGAATCCTGAACAGAGACAAGCCATTTCTGCTCATGTTAGCAATCTCTCCCAAGCTGCTCTCCTACACCCAAAGGCTGACTCCAGAGATATTGAGGAGCAAGAACAATCCCTTTGTAAGGAATGAGGGGGTGGAGAATTGAGAGAAGACTGATGTTGAAATCTGGTTCTCTCACATCACACACCATTTCTGTGATGGAGTAATTGCTTCTCCTGTTCCAGAAAAAAACAGATATCCCAGGTCTGGGGAATATTGGAATCACTGTTTAAGAGGACAGGCAATTGAGGTAGCAAGGAATAACAGGAAAGGATTAGAGGGAAAATAGAGGGGCTTTAAAACCTAAACATGGGATTTTCTCCTGTTGAATGCCTGAAGGCTTTCTAGCATGCTCTCTTTTTCTGGGTAGTGACCCAAGACTGGGGACACCCAAACCTCCCACATAAGTTTTCATTATGTAGTTCTCTTTAAAGAGGGGAATTTTTCCTTGGAAAACTTTTCTGTTTTTTTTTTTTTTTTTTTTTTTGGCCTCTAGCAAAATGCAACAGCCCCAATGAAAGACCACAACTTCACATGTAAAAACCTTTAACACTTATCCACACATTGCTCAGATCCTAGAACTG